GCAACGTCGTGCACACGACGTGCATCACTCGTAACAGAAAATGTACATGGAAAATGCAATGTACATGGAAAATGTAATGTACATGGAAAATGTAATGTACATGAAAAGCCGTGAACGATGCGAAGTACCTGACACTAAAATCACACATGAAAAATGTAACATGATACAATGCATCCTACAGCTAAGGCACTGGTACCACATGTCGAAAAAAGTACAAGAAACAGTAGTCTACAAGTCGTGTCGTAGCTGCCGAGATACTGTACTCTGTCTGCTGCAACTGACGACACTCTACGAACACCATACTGGCACCAAAATCATACTCTACGAACACCCTACTGCTACCAAAATCATACACACCAACAAGTAAAGCACGCACACTACCACTGAGTGTTTGACAATACTAAGACAAGATGAGACGATAAAAAAAACTAGCCCGCACAACATGACGAAGTACAGTGCGAGTAGGGGAGAAGCGGAGTGTTGGCCTCATCGGTCAACGACCCTTCTTCCCCTTCCCGCTTTGTCTCTTCGTACCCCCTCGAGTGCCGGATGTCGACCTCTTCCTCCCTCGTGCGGATGAAGAAGTCCGCGTAGCGGAGCTTGTAGATGCACACGTCAGTGGGGGTCATGGGGGAGGTGGGGGCTCATCGTAGTCGTTGTCGTCATCACCATCGGAATCGCTCCTGCTCTCCTCCTCTCCCTCCTCCTCGCCCTCATAGTCCTCGTCCTCCTCCCGCACAACCGCATCCGTATCACGATCATCCTCCTCAATGGTGATAGGGTCTCCTCCCTTCCTCAACACAACAACCCTCACCCTAGCCTCTGCAACCGTTTGCTCACGGCGGGATCCACGAGGCATCCCCAACCCCTCCGCCCTGGAACTCTCTCCAAGTGCAGCGCCTCCCTCTGCAGGCACGGGGCGTGGACGAGGAGGCACTCCACGCTTGCGTGGAGTCTGCTCCAGCACGGCACGCGTCGCTGCTCTCAGCGCGTGCTCCAAGCTCTCGGTGGACACTCCTCTGCTGCGACCTCGCTGAGGCTCACAACCTGATGCTGGTACCTCCCTCGCCGCGGTCGTCCTGGCGCCGCGGGGTCCCAAGCCCGGCTGAAGGCGTGCAGTGTGCTCCGTGACACGGCGGGTGGAATCCAAATCTATGTCCGTCCTCTCGAATAACGTCATGTCACACACGTCCCGCTGAACTGCTGTCGTGTCACGAATCCTACATCTCCCAGGCGTGTGTGGGGATTGAGAGCCTCTGCCTGTGGGCTCTGATGATGGATCACCTACAGGTGGTCTAGGAGGAGGGGGTGGCATGTCTCCTGTGTGTGGCGCTGTCTCCATCACGCCACACGAAACCCCTGGAACATGTCACACGGCACGTCCCGCGGTGGAGGTAGACCCAGACCACACGGGCGACGCAGGACCCCATGGAACCGAAGGGATCGCCTGCCATGCTGGATGCTCGAGCCTCTGGTCGAAGATCCGTCGATCCAATCGAGTAACATCGCGCACAACCTCTCTCGCCAACTCCTCTGCATCCAAAGGATGACGGACCTCCTGCGGAGCAAGATGGCTAGGAAGACGTGGGGGCACAGCCACCGGTCGGACCCCAAATCCGTGATAACGGGCGGTGGCACACCATGCACTGCCATGTGAACCGCCTGCGATTGTCGGCCCTGAGCCAAGTGCAGGCCCGAGAACGGAACGACTGGACCCGTCGCTGTCTCCTGGACCACGCATCGTGCGTCTATAGCCCCCTCGTCTCGCCGCTGTCCTGCCTGCACAGCCTCATCCACCGCCACCACCCTACCCTGCACACAATCCCCCCCTGTCTCTCGAAGCCTGGCCTCCTCTAAGGCCCGTGCGAACGCCTGAGCACGTGGGTTACTCAATGCGAAAAGTCGAGCCCTCTCTCGCTCCATGATGTCGCGTGCTGCATCTGGAGACTCAGTCGTTGTCCTCTCCCTCGGGGTCTGTGTCAAAGTCTGTCCTGTCGCCTCGTCCCTCGATGGAGCCCGATCTGTCGATGTCGCCCCGCCACAACTACGTGGAAGGCCCATCGACAAATCAAAGTCTAAATGGGTCCCCATCTCCGAATCCGAAATCCCAAACCCCCTCGCCACACCCGGGGTCATACCCGCTATGACCGGATCGAGCTCCTCTGTGAGGAACTGCTGCATGAGACGCTCATCATCGCCCCCACACTGTACCTCCGTCTGTGCGGCTATCTCCTCCTCCACTGGTCCTGCCACCCCACCCTCCACTGCAGCTGCCGACGGTGCCTCCTCCTCCTCAACTGTTGCTGCCCTCTCCACCTCCACTGCGGCCGTTCCTCCAGCTGCTCCTCCTGCTGCTGCCACCTGCCCCTCCACTGCTGCTCCTCCTCCTGCCGCTGGTGCCTCCTCTAGCAGTGCTGCTGCCATCTCCTCCAGCATTGCTGCTGCTGCTGCTGCTATCTCGTCCACCGCGGCTGCAATCGTCGCGTCCGCCACCGCCGCTGGTGCCATCCCCCCCTCCACTGCTGCTGCCGATAGTGCCCCCTCCTCCTGCAATATCCTTGGGGAAAGTGATCGTAACCTCAGCTGGCGGACTGCCCCACCTCTGTAGAGAAGTCCGCGCTGAGGCAAAGCGGACCCCAACTCCTTCGTGTTCGCCGTTGCCGTGGCCGACTGAAGTGGCGAGACGAGCGATGGTGGTGCAGAACTCGGAGCAGGATGCGGCGGCATGGAGGACTCCCGCCTCGTCGGAGTGCGGGTTATCACCCGCGCCTCTGTGTCGCCCTTGGAAGCGACCTCCGCGAATGGGCCCCAAAACTCCTCTTCTCACCCCAGCATCTCCCTGTCCGCCCGGTCCACCGCCCGTCGTGCAGTGTATGCCCTCGTCTCCTCGGAGTCGAGATCGTCGTGCGTCTCGTCGATCTCGCGGGGAATGCGGAGCGCAGGGTCATCTGCCGCCTCGGGTACCGACTCCTCGTCCAAGTCGTCCTCCCTGGGGTAGGGATGATTAATGCAAGCACGTCTACCGAAAACGACATCAGCAGAGGGTGGTGAGGAGGCCCCGATGGGATCCCGGGTAATAAGCGCAACCTGACGGACAATCTCCTCCTCCGTCATCCCCATACTCGTGCCCGTCCGCACAGGCTCCACCTCGAGTCCTGCCTGGCAATCCAGCATGCCCTCGTCCCACTGCCATGGCAGCACATAACCGCATCCAACCCACCGATACTCCGTCAACCGCACATTTGCGGTGATCTCAATGAGTTGAACGACCTTCTCGAAGGCCAACTGGTTGCGCTTCTTCACGTGAATGCCCTCGTGGACTGGCCAGTTCCTCTCCGCTGGAGAGGCGCAAGACCACATGTGCATCACCCGAAGAGCGCACCGCTGCAACTCTGGCGCGCCCGCCCCGAACTGAGACCACCAAGACGCACACTCAATCGTCTCGCCGTCGCCGATGCACGCGCGCCCACGAGCACGCCCCTCCACCCCGCCCTAATCCCCGAACCTGCCCTGCTGAATGTGGAAGTCCTCAAACTGTCGACATGCAAGGATGTAGTCCGCACCCTCCAACTCAAAACTCGTCTGCGTCAGAATGTACCTCTTGGCTTGCCCCACAAGCCAAGCATGGTACCGATAAACCTCGCCCGAAAAGTAGCGAACGTGTCGCCTGCGGGGGTTCAGTAAGAACCCTGCGCAGTGAGCCGGCTCAAGCATGTGTTGTGTGCGAGCCTGCACACGCCTGATGATCCGGTCGGCGAACGACTTTCCCAAAGGAGCGCATGTGTCCGTGACATGGCGGACAAGATCCTGTGTCCACTCGATCATGAGGGACATCAACTATCCTCCACGATCCATCCGCCTAAGCAACTCCATGACGGGCTGCATGATATGCACGATGGTGGCCACCCTGTGCCACCATGGATCCCATCTGATCTGTCGGCGCACCCAACGCGCCATGATGCACACATCGGCGGACCACGGGATGGAAGCAAAAGCCCGCGTGTCATCCCCTCACATCATCTCCTGCAAACTGTCCTGCAGGGCCAACAGCCTCTCTGCCAATGAATAAACAAACGCGAACCGCGTCTCGCAAGAAAGAATAAGCCCCTTGTTGGGGCTGCGCGTCCTAAAAAAATGAAGGGCGACTTGGTGGGTTTTGAAAAACACCACCAGCACATGAGCGAGTGTGATCGCGTCCACAAACGCGTCGCAACTCGTCCCCATGTCTGACAACAATTTGTTCCAGACATGGACAGAGCACGGGAGCCAAGTGATCCTCCTCAGTGCAAGAGGCATGGACGACGAGGCCAATGCCCTTGCAGCCCCTACGTAAGCAGAAGCGGAGTCAGTGCATATCGCATTGACCCGCTGCGGGCCGCCGAAGTTGAACTCGTGGAAGATGGTAACCCATCTCCGAAGGACGTGCACTGCATCATCCGGCTCGCCCTCTCGATTGATCGTCGTGTACACGACGACCCCTCGCGAGCCAGTGGAAAGGAAACTCACGATCGGTCTCCCGTCTCGTGATTTCCTCCCATCGGAGAGGAGGGTGGCACCAGTCACCCAGAATGGCTGCCTCACCTCCTCCAACTCCTCCGCCAACTCTGCACTGTGGGTCTCCACCGCCCACATACTCGCAATCTCACAGTGGTTGGAGAGCACAACACGCGGGGAACTGCCAGGTTGCTTAAGAAGCACTTGTTGATATGCCTTCCAAGCCTGGTTGCGGAAGGCATTGAAGGAAACCCCGTTGGAATAGAGTCAGCGAAGGAATGCCTTCTTGTGGCGAGCAACCCACTCGCCACAGTAGATATCAGTCACCTTCTGTTGGCGAAGCCTCTTTCCTGTTGGGGTGGCAACCGGATCAGTTCCTCCTTCCTTCCTCTTGGAAGACCCCTCCGTTGCAGCTCCCTTGCCTGCTCGCCTCCGCCAGTCCTCCATCCTTTCCCCAGTGCGTGGATAAAACTCTGGTCCGTCCTCGTGTTTCGGGACTCCCTCCTCGCCTGGGCCACGTGCCTCGCAATTGAAGTGGATCACGCCCTCCTCCGTGTCACCGCCTCCACCCCCCAACGGGTGGTCTGGCGCACCATGCCCACCATCTCCCCCGACCCCTCCCTCCACCGGACGCTGCCCCGCCTCTCCTCCCCTTGCACCACCCGTGTCGGGCACATCGAGTCCGCGCTCCACTGCATACCTGGCAACCCTCTCCGTTTGATCGGCCTCGAACTTCTGTTGAGTCCGTCGCGCGATCTCATACAACGCCTCGTCGCTGACGTCCTTGCAATAGTTTGTCTGTGTGAAGTGCCTCGTGGCCTGAAACAGGGTCCCTTGGAAAACTTTGTTGCAAAACGTGCAACGGAGCATCATGACCCCCTTGTTGTCGACCTTCTGGCCGACAACCAGGTACCGATACACAGGGGAGCGGGCCCTGAATGTGTCCTGCACATGGTCCGGGGCAGGCTCATGCAGGCGGCGCGGTGCCCTCCCCATGTCGACCACCCTGGCGAGACAACCCTCGCTGACTCCCCCCGAGCGCACCGCTACAACCCAACCCCCGTCGACCGCTGCCCGCCGCAGGGTCCCCC